CAGGCATTGGTGGACAGTTACCAGAGTGCCAAGACCAGAGCATTCCACAGTGCCTCGCTACCCAAAAAGAAAAATGTTGTTGTTCTTTGGTGCCAACAAGTCATAGTACAAGCCAAAGCAACCCTATGAACTATGAATCTAAACCCTGTCCTCTTCTGTCCTATGACATCCTCACAATTTCTGACATATTTCAGCCCATTGCTGCAGTCAGTCCACCTGGTCGAGGGTCGTCCTCTCCTTTGCTGACCCTCCACCTTTCCAACCATGAGGTCTCTCTTCAAGAAATAGCCTCTCTTGCAATATATCCAAACTATAAAGTTTCATTACCTTAGCCTCCAGGAAGCACTGGCTGCACCGTCTCCAGACAGTGTTATGTCTGCTTGTTCTTTTGGCAGTCCATGGAATGTTCAGTTCTCTTCTCAACCCTCAAAGGCATCACTTCTTGTCATCCTTATTCATTGTCCAGCTTCTGAATCCAAGTGGTTTATAAGACAGTGGCTTGAATCAGGCACACCCTCATCCTCAAACTGACATCATTGCTCCTCAGTAATTTGGGTAGGTCCTTGACTACAGATTTTTCCAGTGCAGTACGTCTCCAGACTGTTGATACTAATGGTGTTGATTGTGGATATAAGTTTCAATCTTTTCTCCATCTGTTGTGATGTTGCCTCTTTGTTTTTTTGACATTGATGCAATCCATATTGAAGTCTGCAGTGTTTGATCTTCTGCAGCAAGCAATTCATGTCCTCAATTTCAGCAAGCAAGACTGTCATTTCCTAACATTGATGAGTCTCCCTCTGATCCTGATGCCATCTTCTTCTTCATAGAGTCAAGCTTCTCAAGTAATTTGCTTAGCATACAGATTGAATAGGTATGGAGAAAGGATATAACCCTGATACACTCCTTGCTTAATTCTAAACCATATAGTGTTCCTTTGCTCTGTTCACACAACAAACTTTTGGCCTTGGTATGGGTCTCACACAAATTAAATATTCTGGGATTTTAGTTCTTCTCAATGTTAGCCATAAGTTATTATGATCCACACAGCCAAATGCCTTTGTATAGTCAATAAATGACACATAGACATTCTTAGGGTATTTTTTCCTTTCAGTCAGAATCCTTTTGATATCAGCAATGATAGATCTGGTGCCACAGCCTCCTCTAAATCAAGCTTGAATTTCTGGAAATTCTCTGTGTACTGTTTTCTAGCAACATTTGCTTGCATGTGACATTAATGATTTTTTTAAATTTACACATTCTGGTAACAGAAATGAGGCCATAAATAGAATTAACAAATTATTGATTCATCCCAAATACTTATTTTTAAAAACACAGATGGCAACTTTACAAATGGACCTTACTAGTTGGACTGTATAGGAATCATATTGACTGCATCTGTGGGAACAATCATTGAAGAAGCTCAGGGCCAGTCAATACCAGGCCAGGTGCTGACTGTGGAACAGACCTTCAGTCCCTCATGTGCAAGTTCAAATTGATGCTGAAGAAAATTGAAACAAGTCCATGAGAACCAAAATATGACTTTGAGTCTATCCACGTGAATTTAAAAATAATCGTAAAGTTCCAAGCACTGAACACCAGTAATCAAAGACCAGCTGGGTTGTGGGAGGACATCAGGGTTTTCATTCATGAAGAGAGCAAAAGGTCATTACAAAGACAGGAGAAAGCAAAAACGGAAATGAATGTCAGAAATAAAAATGAGCCTTCCCTATATATACATGGCAGTGGGAAATTTTCAAAACAAAATTGAATGAAAAAGGTGAACAGCAAAAGACTGAAAGTTGGAAACCAAGCTCCGTATTACCTTGTTTTGCCCACACCAGGTTCACAGCCTTCAGGTTTATTTATTAAAGTCTGACTACTCCATGTGTGGCCAGTGGTACTAGGGCGCGTGGGATTTTCTTAGCTGCTATCATGAGAGGGCAGGTTTTCAGGACTGTTCTTCTTAAATACCGCTTTCAAAAGGTATGGGGCTGAGCCAGTTTCCACTCAGAGTGACCCTGTAGGACGAGTACAACTGCCCAGTAAGGTTTCCTCAGCTCGAATCTTCATGTAGTCAGACTCACTGTGGTGCATGGCGTGACTGGTAGGTTAAAAACATCAACATCTTGGTGAGTAGTCAAGGACGTAATCACTGCACCACCAGAGCTTCACATATGAGACCCTTGCCAAGCCTCAAGTTAAGTGCAGACAAACTCTTTGTGCCACCCAAGGGGTGTCATTACACTCTTTCTAAAGAAAAACTGGAGGTGGATTTTAAGAAGCCCTGGGAATGACTTTTTCTAAAAGCCCGCACAGGGAACCCAGTGGGGCAGCAATCTACACCCTGGATTTTTTGTTTGTTTCAACCCTATCAGTGGTCAGGACTTTTCCTAGTATCAGTGAAATAAGTCATTGTACATCAGAACAAGCTCCTCTGTCTCAGCCAGTGGTGAAGTAAGGGAATCTGAGAGGCTGGGTGGTCACTGTTGGTCTGCAGGCCCTCCCCGTGGCTAGCATCATTGGGTGGAGGACTACAGGGAAATGGTTCTCAACTCACTGTCAGCATATCTCTGTCTGTCAGATTCCTAATTCATTCAAAGCAGAGACTGTGTTCTTCCAGAGACACATGGCCAGAAACAGAATTTTGTGTGATGGCAATGGGACACTGGGCTTTAAGCGCCCCCTTCTGGGGTACACTGAGAACTGCCTTGCAGCCCCTGTGGCTAAAAATGTTGCACCTAAATGGATTGTGGCAATGGGGTCAGATATGTCAGGGATGGTGGCCGCTGGCTCAGGGCATAGGGCAAGAGGGCTGTTGTTCATAGTGTCTCTGTGAGTCGTGAATGACTCAATGACACAACAAATAACAATATCTACAACAAATTAATCACTAGAGAACATTCAGACAAACAAATGCAGTTTGTGGGCCGTTCTATGAAACAGCTGCCCTGGTCTCCAAAAAAGAAAAAGGAGTAAAGAGATAATGTCAATTACTCTGTGCAATCTTTACTTAAATTCTTGGTTGAAAAAAAATCTATTTGAGGAGGAACTGGAACATGGACTCAACATTTAATACTATTCTTCCATTAACCAAATGCTCTGATTCTTAAGTGACGCATGCTAGAATGTTTAGGAGGAGTGTGTGTAAAGAGAAGCACTTGTGATTTTCACAGGATTTACAAGGAAAAGTGGATGTGTGTGCCTAGACAGACCCTGCAAATGCTGCCTGTCAAGCTGAATTTGATGCAAGTCACCCTGCCGGACAGAGTAGAAGCCTCACACAGTAGTCACAAGGCTGCCGTTTTATAGAAGCATCAGCCACATGGAGTGGCTGGGGAGGTTCAGATTGCTGCTTTGGTTAGAACCACGTCCTTCATCACTGTGTCACTAGGACTTTTTTTGTAAATCTAGAGAGACCTAACGTGAGGCAGGTGTTCACACCTGATGAATCTGGTTGTGCTTTTGTAGGTTTGACTTTTTTAATTAAAAGTTGGAAGAAATTATTATATGGGTTTACTTATATTAGGACATTATCATGCTAATTTCTGAAAGGAAAGCTGTTTTTGGAGCAGATGAGAGAGAATGTCCAAAGGTGTTGGCTTTAGAGGCTGAGGGGGTGCTCAGCATCCGTGATACCCCCCAAGGTCTTGGGGCAGCTGTGCCCTGCACATTTCCGTCACCATGTTTGGGAGGAATAGGAGTAGTCTGGGGGTGGGGTAGAGCATGGTGAAAGGGGCTCTGTGTTTAGTAGAAGCTTGAGGGTGATGGTCACAGAACCTCTTTCCCAGGCCAGGGGCAGCATCTGTGCTGTCAACCTGATTTTGTGGGTCCCGTGTGTGTTCTGATCATCAGGGGGCTCAGGCAGTTATACTGCATGTCTCAGGGGCCTGGGAGCTCAGAGTGGCACTCCAAGCCACACCCACTCCCAGCAGGGTAGTGTTGTCCCCTCTCCCCTGGTATCTGCAAGTTCCCAAGGTGGACCTGGCCCCCTGGACTGTAACTCTGCCAGCCCTCCACCTACAGGTTGGAGTACCCACACCTGCATGTTTTCCTCTATACTCAAGCATCATAGGACCATGTCCTGGGATGAGCACACAATTGAGAGCTTGGCTGTCACCTTTGCAGCAAAAAATGCACATGGGAGGAAAACCTGAGACATCTTGGGCAGAAGTTGTGGAGGGTCATTCCTTCATGTTAGAAGCCAAAACAGAAGTCTTTTATTTAAAAAGCCACAATGGTTTGGGAGTTAATGAGTGAGAATTTACTTGATTGCAGTAAATGTGGTCACTGGAGTTGAATTAATCTGTTTTTATGTGAATTTTATGTGTAGTTTTGATCTTTTACATGAGACTTTTTAAAAAAAGAAAATGATTCATAATACTTTTAACTATTGTATCATTGTTGTTATTATGTACCATTGGGTCAGAAACAACTCACAGCACCAGCAGTTTTCAGAGGCAGTAAATTGCATTGGAAGGGATTATCTATTCTCTTGGCAGAAGAACTGGTAGATTAGAACCACATACCTTTAGGTTGGCAGTGTAATGCCTTAAAAGTAAGCTGCCAGAGTGCCCTTTCATATTACTCACCACTAATATTTTAGTGGGTTTGGTTTGATGGGTGTTTATTTTGTTTGGGTTTTGTTTTGGGGTTTTGGAGTTTTTAAGTTATTTTTCCCTCTATATATTCTGGTATGCATGAGAGCAAAGGTATCTGTGTTATCTGCCTTTGTGAGTCTGTGAGAAAATCTTTATTCTGTGTGTGATTGTGTTCTATGTCTTTGTATTTGTCTGTGAATGTGTGAATGTGTGTACAGTGTACATGTGAACATTATTTTAAGAAGGAAAAGGCATCCCAAGTAAGGAATGCCTAAACCCTGTCATTGATCTGGTTGTGGGAACGTTCATCAGCATTTGGTGGCATATCCTAAACGTGTCCCCTGTCCTTGCAGGACGGCTGTTCTTAGTGAAGGACCTTGCACTCGCTACTGAGTAGCGACCATGGGCCTGCTCGCGTTCCTCAAGACCCAGTTCATCGTGCACCTCCTCATCGGGTTCATCTTCGTGGTGAGCGGGCTCATCATCAATTTCATCCAGCTATGCACACTAGTCCTCTGGCCCATCAATAAGCAGCTGTACCGCCGGTTAAACTGTCACCTTGCCTACTCGCTGTGGAGCCGTGAGTACTGCCTGGGCTGTGGCACAATGACCTGACAGCAGTGGTCATGTGATACTGGCTGCAGAGTGAGCTAGTTCCAGCCTTGCTGGCATGCAGGGCTTGTAGAGAGGGGAGTGGGCATGCTGATGGGGTCTGAAATGAAGGGCAGTGGCAGGAGCTCCCGCCCAGACAGTGGCCACCTCTGGAGGGGCTGCTTGAGGGGCCTGGCCAACAGACAATTCATTATCAGTCTAGGAAAGTTAAATTTTTTAATTTAATGAATAAATTTTATACTAGATTTGACACAGAATGGAGAGAACCTGTGAGCGGAACATAAATATAGGGGAAATAAATGAGTGTAGCCAAGAGTGCTAAACACTAGGAGAAAGGGGATCTTAGAATGAAACCCTATGTTCATGTTTGGATGAGAAAGACATTAGAATAGGTAATGCTAGAAAATATTCCTGATTTTTAAAAAGTCATGATTTATCAGATTTAATAAGAAAATGTAGACTAAGCTGGACAAATGAACACTTTATAGTGAAATCACAAACCACCCTAAGACAGAGATTATCTTAACACTACCACCACCAATCCAATTTTTTAGAGTTTATGGTGAAAAAGATAATGGGTTTAGTGTTTTGTTTTTGACTAGGATATCATGAGTTAAATTATGCACCCCAAAATTCAGGTATACAATGCTATAATTTGGATGCTCTGTAATAATCCCCCCTGATCTAATGAATCAGATAGTTGCAAGAGGACTATTGATGAAATACAGCACTCCCAACACTTATTAATCCCATCACAGTAAAGCATCTCCCTCTAAGGTGTAGTCTGTAAAATACAAGGTGGTAGAAATACAAGGCGAGAAATGGTAAGCTGAGGCTATGGTAGGAACCCTCAGTACCACTGAGAAATAATTTACAAAGAGTAAAGTGTTTCTTTTGGGCTTGGGCCACCACATGAGGCAGCTCCGTGACACGAGAAGGCCAGGACCCTTGAAGATCCCGAAGAAGCACCTGGCCCACATATGCTGAGGGAAACCAAGACTCTCCACAGCTAGCACAGAGAGAGCAGGCCCTTCTCTGGGGCAAATCTAGCACCCTAAGAAAATGACTTCCCATTCGTTAAAGCTGTTCACTTTTGTCTCTCTGTGTTAGCAGTACTAGATAATGAAAATTCAGATGTTCTGAAAATTCAGTACCATTTCCTAGTTCACCTTTGCTTACTTGCAAGACCGACTCCTTGGGGGTGTTGTTCCCAGTGGCTGGTGTAATAACGTACCACAAGCTGGTGGCTTACAGCAACAAAACCCCATAGTTTTGCCATTCTGGAAGTCTGAAGCCCTAGGTTGGAGTGTCCCCAGGACTATGCTTTCCTCTAGAAGTTCTGGAGGAGATGACCACCTCCCGTTTCAGCCTGTGAGGCACCAGGTGTTCTTTGGCTTATGGTGACATCACTCAGCCTTTGTCTCCATCACGTGGCCTTCTCCCTCATGTCTCTATCTTTTCCTTTAGAAGGACCCTTGTGACTGGATTTAGAGTCCGCTAGTACACAGTGATCTCATCTCAGGATCTATAACTTAATTAAATCCGTCAAGACCTTTTCCCAAACCAAGTCCCAGTTACATGTTGTGAGGAGGGCATGGGCCTAGCTCTTGAGAGGTTCCATTCAGCCCACACCAGGTCCATGGTCTCATCTCCACAGGTATTCTTCTCTGCCCCAATTCTGAAATCCAGAAATTCTTATAACAGAAAGCTTTCAGAAGTTAACTATAGACTCATGGCAAAACCTAAACTGGACTGGGTGCAGGTGTGTATAATCTGTGTCCCTCTCAGACTGATTTCTTTTTTATGCTGCTGTAGAAACACTAGTGAGTGACTCTGGTGTGCTGTGGCTTTGTCACAAATGGCACTCTGCACTGAGGAGCTTTCTAAAATGAGAAAAACCTGACTTCAGAGATGTCCCCGGTCCAACGGTTGTGCATTCCTGACTATGCCTGTACTGACTGTCTTAAAGTAAAAAATAATACAATGGCAGGCCCTTTCCATTTTGCAGGGAGACAAGGATATTCAGATCAGTAAAAGGAAGAATCAGTTGGTTCCATTCAAATTAGAATTATGTGGGAAGAAAAGAAGTGTCAGGATGTCAGGGACAAGCCCAGAACCGTGGGAAAGCTCCACCTTCTCTTGTCACCTGTGTCCTCTGAAGCTGTTTGACCTGTAGATAAGGGGATGTTCTCCACTTGTTTCCTACTGTAAATATACTAGTAGAAAAAACCAGAACTCCTAGCCTCTCTGCCGTCGAACTGATTGTGGCTCATGACGAGCTGGTGTGTGACAGAGAAGAGCTGCTCCTCATGGCTTCTGTCTGGAATCCTTAGAAGCCGACCAGCAGGCCTTTCTTCTGTGACAAAGTTGATCACAAGCCATCAGCACCACTCAGCATAGAGACCACCCTCAAATTAGACCGCATGGAAACCTTTTCCAAGTCAGTGGGTACATGGCAACAGCTAGAAACTCTTCTTTTTTAATATAAATAAATATGGAACATTGACCCACTGTTTTATTTTTCACTCTCCATCCATTCCTATTATTATCTCTCTTATAAAAGAGAGACTATCAAAACTCATTTTTAGCAGAACATTTCACTGTGGCTGAAACCCTTGAAAAATATCTGCTCCAGGTCCTCTCCTGTCACAGAATCAGTGGTGAATCCCATGGCAGGGCAGGGTTGGCACCTGGCTCAACACTGTGGGTGTGGGGGGCCGTGTCCTGCAGAGTGTCAACACCCCCTGTGTCTGCAGAGCTGGTCATGCTCCTGGAGTGGTGGTCGTGCACAGAGTGTACCCTGTTTACGGACCAGGCCACGATAGACCGGTTCGGGAAGGAGCACGCGGTTATCATCCTCAACCACAACTTCGAGATCGACTTCCTCTGTGGATGGACAATTAGTGAGCGGTTTGGCATGCTGGGGGTGAGCAGCTTGGCAAGGTTCCCTGGGTTGGTACTGGGGGGCTCCCTGGCACCCAGCATCTCCCACAATGGGTTGTCCTTTGGCCCCTGGGTCCCATGAGTTGGCATACAGGATTGAGTGGAAGGGAATCCACACGGGGGCCACTGACTGCTAGTACTGGCCTCTCTAAGATGCTTGTCCCATTTCTTAGCCCTTTATGATTTTTCTGCTTCAGGACGCCCAGAACTACCACAGGTAGCCCAAACATGCTGGGTGAAGTTAAACTAGTTCTGAGACAGTAAATCCCTTCACAGAAGGAACTTCTAGATCAGAACATTCCCAAAGCATCTCGGGGACACTGTGGCGATGCACAGATCAGGGACCTTGGCTACTGGAGCCCATACACATGAGCTCCTTACTGAGCCTCAGTTTTCTCACCTGTAGGATAGGTGCATACACCTGTAAGAAGTGCCGGTCTGAATGCCCCCACCTTCAGGAGCCCCCCTGTTCTCTAGTGAATGTTTTGAAGTGGGAAATCCACAGTTCACAGAGAGACACTGGGCACGTCACACCTTAGCCCTGCTGTCCCTGTGTGGCCTGCCACGCGGCTCTGCTGAGCTCACCCAGCTCCCACAATGGTGCGATTTGCAAATAACTGTTGTCCTCCTTCCCTTCCCTCAGAGCTCTAAAGTCCTCGCCAAGAAGGAGCTGCTCTACGTCCCGCTCATTGGCTGGACGTGGTACTTCTTGGAGATTGTATTCTGCAAACGGAAATGGGAAGAAGACAGGGAGACTGTGATTCAAGGGCTGAAGCGTTTGTCAGACTACCCCAAGTTCATGTGGGTAAGTCAGGCCTCAGACACACTGAGGAGGGGCAGGAGGTGGCGGCAACACAGTGAGCAGCTCATTTCACAGCCTTTACCACTTCCCTGACATACCCTCATCCAAGTCACAACTTGTACAACCGACACTCCCTAAGGACTGGGAAAGGTATCATCAGAGGACACTCCTCCCTCTTGTCCAGTCTTACAGGCTGTCCTCATGCCACCTGCTTCTGGCCCCTTGCTCCAGCCCCACTTTTGATCCAGAGTGCTCTAGGAGAGCTTAGAACAGAGGAGATGGAGGGAAGGACACAGGGCAGCCATAAGTTTATATATATTTCTCCTGGGAAAAAATTAACTTGAGTAAGCCAATTTAAGTTCCCCAGTTGAGCAGCCTGTTTTACCAAAAAGTTTTCATGTCATGATTGTGCTGTCCAGGTTTATATTATACATTCGAGGGCAAATCTTAATGACTTTTCAATCTGTCTTCAAATCTCTACTTTAACCACCCCACCACCACCACCACTAGTTGCTGTCAAGTTGACTCCATGTAGAACTGTGCCTCATCGGGTTTTCCACAGGCAGATTACCAGACCTTTCTTCCAAGGTGCCTCTGAATAGACTCAAACCTCCAAGTTTTTGGTGAGCAACCAAGTGTATCAACCAGTTGCACCATCCTCTACTTTACTTAATTGTTGTTGTTTGTTGTGTGACTCATAACAACCCTGTGTACAAGAGCTTTGAACCTTGCTCTATCCTGAGCCATCCTCATTGTCTCTGACACACCTACCCCCATTACCCCAGTCATGAAGTCCATCCATCTCATCCAGGACCTTCCTCTCTTGCTCTCCCTTCACCCTCCCTAGCATGATGTCTCTCTCCAAGGACTCATCCCTCCTGGCAACATGCCCAAAATATTTGAGAGCTTCAGAATCCTTACCTCCATGGAGTAGGCTGGTTTTATCCTCTCCAGGATGAACTTGTTTGTTCTAGCAGTCCATGTTATTTAATACTCTTCTCTAGCACCACAGCTCATAAGCACCAATTATCCTTCTGTCATCTCTAGTCATTGTCCAGCTTTCTGATGCATAGCAAGTAATTGCGAAGACTATGGCCTGAATCAGACACACCTTTGTCTCCAGACTGACATTGTTGCTCTTCAGTACTCTGAAGAGGTCCCTGACTGCAGACTTTCCCAATGCTGTTCATCTTTCGATTTCCTGGCTGCCAAGAGTGTTGATTGTTCAGCCAAGCTGTTAACAATCTCAAGCTCAGTCATATACTTACCTGGCAGGGGAGATACCATGATAACGAAGGTTTTCCCAGGGAGAGGCTTATCCATTGTTCTCCAGATGTGCTGATGCCTGCCATTTCCCCAAATCTGAGAAACTAGACTGCATAATTGGTGGTGGTGGGGTACTGATTAAATAAATAAAGAAAATAGAAGGAGTTGTAGCCTATGGAAAACACCTTTGACCCCACCCCCAGCAGGCAAGGCAGGAAAAGGGCAGCATGGTGTTCAACCTCTCAGAGGTGGTTGACAGGGCAGCTTCTGACATTGTGACAGCAGGAAGCTTGCCTGTTGCTTTTCTCTAGTCCTTCCTTTGCTCTATGACTGTCCTTCAAAAACTGGTCCTTGTTTGTACCTGAACCACTGAGTGGATGGAAAGTCTTTCCTGTCAGATTGGAGGCTGCTGTGCAGATGTGCCATTGTGTTTTGCTTCTTTCTGGAAAGTTGTATTTTGTATCCTTTTAGAGTAAGTGAAATACAGCATCTGCCATGTAAGTGAATTAGTCCACAGACCTAAAACAAGTCACTTTCATTCCAGCCAAAGCCACATACCTGTCACTAGCACAGCTCTTAGCATTCTGCAATCCCCTCCGCCTTTGCTCCATGTGGGATTCAGAAGATTCTGGGCCTACTCGGCCATTGGTCCCAGTATGCTGGGGCGCTGGGATCACGTGTGCTGTCTTGTGTCTTAGTTCCTTCTGTACTGCGAGGGGACACGCTTCACAGAGACAAAGCATCGTGTCAGCATGGAGGTGGCCGCCGCCAAGGGGCTGCCCCCGCTCAAGTACCATCTGCTGCCTCGAACCAAGGGCTTCACTACCGCAATCCAGTGCCTCCGGGGGACAGGTAGGTCCTGTGGTCACCAGCCCATGCTCCTCTCTTTGCTGCAGAGTTTGAAAGCAATGAATTGTTAAAAATGAACAAGCAGAGATTTCAGTTGGTTCCAGACCAGTATGAGATGATGAGGGTTGGTAGCCAGGGGTTCTATCTGTGTCATCTGGAAAAATGGGGGGTCCACATCTCCTGGGGCACTTACCTGCCTTTGTCTCCCTAGTCACTGCTATCTACGATGTCACGCTAAATTTCAGAGGGAACAAGAACCCGTCTCTGCTGGGGATCCTCTATGGGAAGAAGTATGAAGCAGACATGTGTGTGAGGTGAGCAGGCCAGGTGTCAGCACGGGTGGGTGTCCCCTGCCCCTGACCTGCCTTCCCCACCTGTGTGTGTGTGTGTCTGTGTGTTTGTGTGTACATGCACATGAGTGGGGCTGCGCTTGTGGAAAAGATAGAGGAAATGAGCCTGGGCCTCCAGAACTCAGAGGTTGCTCAGTTGGTCATAACGTGGGCTCTCCTTGATTACATCACACAGCCCCATTGTTTTGTTTCCTGAGCCCCTCACCTCTCAGGCTGCGCTCTCTCATGTGTACGCGCGTACTCTCTCTCTTCCCCTCTCCCTCTCCCCCTCTTCACTTCACAGAGGCAGGCCCCACTTTAGGGTCAGTACTTGGAACTCTGTACATCTTTCTAGGGCATACAGGTGATGGGAGCATATGTAGGGGATGAGGCAGGACCAGTGAGGCCCAGGGTGAGGACTGAATGTTAGAGCTGCTCCAGGAAGATGCTGCCCTTTCCCATGGGATGGAGCAAAGAGGCTTTATGAGAAGAGCCACTTGGGGCTGGAGCTTGAGCTCGGACCGAAATGTTCACCGGCAACACAGGAAGGACAAGCTGTCTTCTCTTGTCTGCTTCTGTCTCTGCATCCTATTCTTGTCAAGCTGGTGCCTATGGCCCCCACATTCCCCAGGGACAAGGCTGATTTGAGGCCTGCAGGTCTCTACACTGGCTAGCACCACCCAGCTTATTCCACAGCAGCACCAGCCCCTCAGTCAGTCCTTTGTATACAAGGACTCATGCTGGTAAGAGCCAGAGGGATGCACAGAGCCTCCAAGAAGTAAAACTAGGTGAAGGTAGAATGCTCTGGAATTCTTAAAAGTTCTCAGATTAGCTTTCCATGTTACCCAGAGAAGGGTCCATATGGTGTTGCCCTGGCTCCTATTGTAACTTAAAGGGGGAATCCAAAATGTCCAGAGCCCTTGATGTCCTGCCTGCAGATGAAGGCAATGGCGCTCTCAAATTCCTTGTAGTAGGAACTCAGTCGGTGTGAGCCTTGACTTCAAGATGGAAAAATACATCTTCTAAAGAAAAAGTGATGCCATGTATATCATAAACCGGAAGAGGACCTGGGAGGAGGAGCTTTTCCTGGCAGCTTGGGCCATTGATACCACTGAAAACCCAGCTGATATTAGTGCCGTATCTTCTAGTAATGCTGGGCAGGGGGCTGTGCTGAAACTTCCTGTTGCCTTTCGAACCGCTTCTATTTGCTGGGTACTACAGTTGTACTGCTAACCCAACGGCTGCACCTCTCCAGTGGTTCAACTCCGCCAGTGACTCCTCAGGAGAAAGACTAGCACTCTCCTGTGTGATTTACAGCCTCAGAAACCCTACAGATGACTGGTTATGAGCAATGAGGTTTTTTGTTATTTTAGTCACTCGTGGAGGCTTTCTCATTAGTGGGTCCAAGAGTGTTGATTATGGAACAGAGGAATCTGTGATTGTTAACAACTTCAATCTCTTCTCCATCTATCACAGTCCTGCCAGTTGGCCCAGTGGCAAGAATCTTTGTCTACTTGATGCTGAGCTTCAATCCATAATGAACACTACAGTCCTTGACCTTCTGCAGCAAATGCTTCAGGTCCTCCTTAGTTTCAGCAAGAAAGGTTGTATTATTTGCATTTAACAGGTTATTTGAGTCTTTTTGCGATCCAGATACCACATTTTTCCTCAAAGTTCATCCTCCTAAATGATCTGTTCCCCGTAGAGTGAAAAGGTATGGAAACAATGCATCCCTGACACACAGCCAGGAAATCAAAAGATGAATTCCATTCGGGAAATCTGCTATCAGGGACCTTTCCAAAATGCTAGAGAGCAATGATGTCAGTCTGAAGACTAAGGTACACCTGCTTCAGGTCACGGTCTTCATAATCACTTGCTGGGTATCAGAGAGCTGGACAATGATGGATGACAGAAGAAGAATCAATGTCTTTGAGTTGTGGTGCTGGAGAAATTTTGAACAAACCATGGACCACCAAGAGACAAACAAGTCAGAGAGGGGGTGAAACCAAGTTTCTTCTTGGGGGCAAGGATTTTGACGCTCCATCTTACATACTTTGGGGCATGTTGCCAAGAGAGACCAGTCTATGGAGAAGGACATCATGCTTGGTAAGATGGAGGAACAGTGCAAGAGAGGAAGATCTGCATGAGATGGATTGACCCAGTAACTAGTGTAACGGGGGTAGATGTGTCAGAGAGAGACTGGATCAGGATAGGGCAGAGTTCAGAGCTGTCATGTGTAGGGTCACTGAGTCACAGGCGACTCAGTGTTACATACAACAACATGGAGGCTTCATTTACCAGGTTCAGGCAGCTTTCTGGGAGCTATTCCTATGGCCACTGATCCTAGCCCTGCCCACCAGCCTCTGACAGAGGCATCTTAGATTAAATTTCCCACCATTGCCAAGCATAACATGGATTTCTCCTCTGCGCTACAAGGACATTGCCTTCCGAAGTCAGCTTGCTCCATGAATCTTGTGGTGGATGCTGGCCCTCCTGGAAGTTTTGCACATGGGCAACACCATCTACCTGGAGCACGCACAGGAGATATGCCTGATCTCTACAGAGATCCAGAAGAGAGGAAAAAAAGGAAGAGCAGGCTGCTGTCGAAGGCTATGATCAAGGAAGAAATTCTGGGTGTGAGCTCTACTTCTACTCCTAAGATAGGTTTATTGCTGCTCAGTCCAAGACCACAGACTGGCCTGAAGGCGTGCAGGTGCCACTTGTTCAGCAGCCCCTTACAGAAGACTGGAGTCCAACTCAGTTCACAACTGAACACTGATCTGCATCTCTCCTGCTCAGGCCACATTTTCTCCTAGAAAATGGAAATAAAAATAAGAAAATGGAAATAAGGTTGAATTTTGTAATAGATTGGCTAATAGCAGGCCTACGATCTCCTCCTTCATTCTGAAATGAGGAATACGAGCTTTGAAGTTTCTGCATTGGATCTGAAACCAGAGCCTGCGTTTTGACCCATTACTGGCCCAGTGACATCGTGACTGATTTGGCACCTTGGGTGGTCAAGATGGTAACATGGGGGAAAGGCAGATCAGCATGTCACTTGATTGTTCCCAACTTAGAGTGCTGTGGTTTGCTATATTATAGGATGTGCTTTCCTATAACAGGACAGTCAAAGAAGACCTGGGTCAGCATTACCACAGCTCTTATCCCTGGTCGTCTGGTGTTCTCACTCACCTCAGACACGGAGAGTGTCTCTTGTCCCCCGCCCTTTGCAGTTCTTGGTTGGCCCAGAAGAGCTCACAAGGGGACCACACAAGGACAATTTACTACTATTTCTGTTTGTTTTTAAAAATTGAGAGTAAAATTTGAACCATAAAGACCCTCCAAGTAGCGTAATAAAATTGTTTTCCTTTTCATCCTTTTTAGTTAGTGCCATCTCCTATTGACTTTGCAATGTTCTTAATCAAACAGGAGGTATCCTCTGGAAGAGATCCCACAGGATGAGAATGAAGCGGCTCAGTGGCTTCATAAACTGTACCAGGAGAAGGTAAGGTGCTTGGCAGAGCCTTGACAGTCTGAACTCCTATTGGGTGGTTCTTTTGGCTTCTAGGAATTTTTAAAATCTTTTAAAACATTAAGAATGTATTATAATTTATTTTATTTAACTAAGATTTCTGCAGCCATCAGCAGTTCTAGTACAATTTCAGGTATAGTTGCAAATTTGGGAATCTAGGTAGAGCTGTTAGTGTAGCAAACCTTGTAGGTAAAATACACACAAACTTTTGATGGAACATGTGACAGGATCTCTCTAAAACCGACCTCATTTGGTTTCATTTTCAGCAAACTGACCTTTGCCACTCAACATTGCTTTTATTATTCCTGACATTAGTGCAAGTTCTCTTATTCTGTAAATTCATGGCCATCAGACGATAACAATTTGATGATCATGGCTCCTGGGCCTTCACAGCCACCATGTTTTCTCCTCTCCGTACATTATTCTCTTTGAAATTCTACTTTGTTTCCATAGGAACTTTAGTAGCTTTTCGTCAGTCTTGTTTGAGGGACACCGCTGATCCTGGTAGCACACACTGATCTTCCAGGCAGTTCTCTGGTACTTGTCTCTAGTCCTTAATTTTTTCTTCTCTTTTGAGAAATTCCATAATAAAGGAAAGTATGAAAGAAAACACAATGCTTCCAAACTATGCCTAATAAAATTTGTTGGGATTTTTTTTTAACATGTAAAAAGAAATTAGTGCTATATGCAGTTGTTGTTAGTAGGTGCCATTAAATTGACTCATAGCAAACCTAAGAACAAAAGATCTGAATCTTCCTCTGTCCTGTGTCACCCTCATCATTTCTGATATGCTCAAGCCCACTACTGCAGTCACTGCATCGATCCAGGTTCCTCTCCCTCTTTCTCTGACCCTCTACCTTTCCCACCATAACTTAACAACAAATGGAGATAGGACATATCCCTGGCATACACCATTCCCAATTTTAAACCATATAGTGTTCCCTTGTTCTGTTCTGATGACTGCTTCCTGGTCCAAGTATAGGTTTTGCATTAGCACAATCAAGTGTTCTGGGATTCCCATTCTTCTCAGAGTCAGCCACAGTTTGCTGTGATCCACACAGTCAAATGCCTGTGGATAGTCAATGAAACACAGACATTCCTTGGTACTCTCTGCTTTCAGCCAATATCCATCTGACATTAGCTATAATATCCCTAGTGCCACAGCCTCTTCTAAACCAAACCTGCACATCTGGCAGTTCTCTGTTGATCCAGACATTTTTGGATAATTTTCAGCAGAATCTTGCTTGTATGTAATAATGATATCGTTCAATAATTTCCACACTCTGTCAGGTCACCTTTCTTTGTAATGGGAACAAATATAGATCTCTTTTAAGTCAGTTGGCCAGGTGGCTGTCCTCAAGATTTCTTGGCACAACTTTGTGAGCTCCTCCAAGGCAGCATCTGTTTGTTGAAATATGTCATTTGGGTGTACCATCGATTCCTGGGGCCTTCATTTTTTTGCCAAGTCTTTCAGAGCAGCTTGAACTTCCTTCATCACCACAGGCTCTTGTTCATTCATTATTTCATGGAATTCTGGTCCACCAATTCCTTTTGGTTCAGTGACTCTGTATACTCTTTCCATCTTCTTTCAGTGCTTTCCTGGATCATTTCATATTCTCCCCAAAGCATCCTGAAGTATTGCAACTCAAGGCTTGAATTTGTTCTTCAGTTCTTTCACCTGAAGAAATATTGAGCAAGTTTGGCCTTTTTGAGTTTCTGATTCCAGCTCTTTGCATATATTATTTTATACTTTGCTTTGTCTTCTGCCTTTGAAATTTTCTATGCGGCTCCTTAATTTCGTGATTTCTTCCGTTTGCTTTGGCTTCTCAGTGTTCCAGTGCAATATTGAGAGTCTCTCTGACATCCATCTTAGAGAGAGACTAAGAATAGTTAGTCACAAAAAGGGTTGGAAAGAAAATAATAAGACCTATAAAAACATGGGCACATTTTTTTAATTTTTTTTTTTTTACAGAGGTTTTGGATTTCCATTCATTCATTGCCACAATTTTCTCCCTTCCCACCCCTCCCCACCAGCTCGCTTCCCCCTTCAAAGAGAGAGAAAAAAAATTCCTTCATTAGTATACAATTCCCATGTCCCTTCCCCCCACCCCCCACCCCGAGTTCTTCTCTATGCAACCTTAATTCTGGATTCCTGTGCTAACCATAATACTCAATCATATATCACTTCTAATCTATTCTTTCCCTCATCTGTTTCAATACAATATACATAATTTATCCAGTTTTTTCTGTCATACCCCCACCCTGATGTCAGACCCATTCTACAACAGTGGCACCATGCAGTATTTGTCCCTTTGTGACTGAGATATTTCACTCAGCATAATGTCCTCCAGGGTCACCCACTTTGAATAATATTGCATAAGTTCCTTGTTTTTCAATGCTGCGTAGTATTTCATTGTGTGGATATACCACAGCTTCTCTATCCATTCATTTGTTGATGGGCCCTTAGGCTGCTTCCAACTCTTTGCTATTGTAAACAAAGCTGCAATAAACATGGGTGTGCATTTATCTGCTTGGATGGCAGATATGGTCTCTCTGGGGTATGTTCCCAGTAATGGGATTGCTGGGTCAAATGGTATCTCTATTCTCAATTTTTTGAGAAAACGCCACACCACCTTCCACAATGGTTGCACCAACATTTTTTAAAAGCCAGGTATAACTTATGAGAAACTAGTCAACAAATTAAGTTAGATTTCTCTAAAGAGAATTTGTGAACTGGCAAATAGATTTGAGAAAATTACTCTGAATGTGCTGCTTCGAGAGAAAATATGAAAGGTTAAAACAGGGAACATAGGATTCTGTTGTACTTAGCCTGTAAGCTGTTCTTCAGCTCATGCTGTTAGATGTTTGCACTGCATCCCATTTCACTGGTTAACAAGCTCTAACAGTGTCATCTCCTGAGAATGCCTCTGGCCAGATTTTCTGTCCCACACCCTCACCTGGTGTATCTCTCCTCCTGATCTGTGTGTGGTTGCTGTCATTATCCTCACTTGGCAGACAAGGACACTAAGGAAAGAAGTTAACCGTGTGCTGATAGCACGTTAGGGAATGACACCAGAATCTAGGGCCAGATGCTTGGGCTCCGAGCCAATCATAACTCTTACCTATGCTATCTCCCGCCTGGGAGAAGGATCACTGTCATGTGGGTATATGAGTACCTGTTCTTCTTCCAGGCCTTTGATCTCTGAATATACTTTTCACCCTTAACTGCTTATTTTCTTTCGAGAATGGCTGAGTCAAAGGGTCTGTATTTAGTTTCATTTTTAAGCTTCTGATGCCTACCAAAGATTTGCCCCAAAAAAAGAAATCATCACCCAACTTCTATGATGTTTGGCCATTTCTTTAGAATGTATGGTGCTTGGGAGTTTGAATCATCTTTTATTGCAAATAATTAACTTTCTCTTGTGTTAAGAGAATAATATCTAATGGAGCTTTTCTTGTTTTCATTTTTACTCCTCCAGGATGCATTACAAGAGACATACAATCAGAAAGGCGTTTTTCCAGGGCAGCAGTTTAAACCTGCCAGACGGCCATGGACTCTCCTCAACTTCTTCTTCTGGGCCACCATTCTCCTGTCTTCCCTTTTCAGTTTTGTCTTGAGCGTCTTTGCAAGTGGATCCCCTCTCCTGATCCTTACATTCTTGGGCTTTGTTGGAGCAGGTACTGAATGGGAAGGTGAAAATAGCTCCTAGTTTGAGAGTCTGACTGTACCAGGCCCCATGCCCAGAACTCTGCCATCAGTCATGGTTTATCTCATAACTCATTGTCATAAGTCACAGCCAGCTCATATAACTGACTCTCCATTTGGTTTCTAAGGATGATAATTTCACAGCTGGAAATTGCCCATCCTTCTTCAAAGCTGCTGGGGACTTTGACCCCCAAAAGGACGCAGCCTTGGGGTACTGGGGCAGCCCCCATGGACAGTGCCACCAGAATATCATGGTTACTTGTGAATAAGCATAAACCAGTTGTCATCAAGTTATTTCCGACTTAGAATTGTGTTCTGCAGAGTTTTTGATGGCTTGTTATTTAGAAGTGGGCTTTTCTTCCAAGGTGATTGTTTCTGAATGTATTTGAACTGTCAAATGTCCTATTAGTAGTCCCCAGAGTGCTAACCAACCACCCAGTGTTAATCCCCTCCTGGGTGTTCCTTGTAAATTGCTGGATGCTACATGTGGACTAAGAGTGTACATAGATAGTTCCGTCCCAGTTGTCTCAACTCCTCCTTGTTTCTTGCTTTCTTCCTACCATAGCATGGTGGAAGTACGAGGAGCACTGTATCACCACCATCCCTCACATTGAACTATAGGTTGATTTGGGGCTACCGTATCCTCCACCTTCACTATGTCCTGGAAGGACAGGTCAATCACTACGTCAGCATGGCTTGAATCTGTCCTCTTGTCCAGTTGCAGCCATGTGTTGGGGTCTGATGAGGCACCACCATTCCCCCGGCCCCCACTCCTGCAATAGTCTCAGGCTCTATTGAGGAATAAGATGGGACATGCCCTGTTGAAGAATAAGTGGCTAGGTCAGTGGGATTTGATGCAGCAGATGGGAAGATAAGGCATCACATGCTCACCAGATGGTGGAGCGCCAAGGCCTTCCATTTCCTTTAGGGACCCTCCAGGGAACAGGAAAGAGGAAGAAAAGGCCAGGCTGCCACAGTCCCTAGAATCTAGGCCAGAGTAAGGTGGGTTCCTTAGTGGGCTTCTTAACTGCTCACTGGCACTGCAATTGGCTAACTGCGTTCTCTCTTTTCTTCCCTTCAAGCATCCTTTGGAGTCCGCAGACTGATTGGAGTAACAGAGATAGAAAAAGGCTCCAATTATGGAAACCAAGAATTTAAGAAAAAGGAATAATTAATGGCTACGATTGAACATTGATGGTGGTATCCAATTAACTCGATTAAAAAGAGAACAACGTACACACAGAGAAAAAGAGACACTTAGAAACTATTTTTCTTATTAACTGGTGACTAATATTAACAAATAAAACTTGAGCCAAGAGTAAAGCGCCCGTATGGACTGACAGAGAAGACTCTTGCCCACCTGGCCTGCCAGCGTGTCCATTGGGGCTGAGGAGGGCTGCTTGGAGGGCGTACTTGATGGGGGAGGCAGTTCCTACAGTCAGTCTCATGTGGATGTCATCTTTCAAGAACTCTGCTTGCGAGAGGGAGCTTCGGATGCTTCCTCTTCTTAACCTTAGATCTAGTTTTTGGTTTTTATCCCTCACTTTGGAATCTTATTCTGGCCCCTCCTCTTCCCTGCATTCCTGAAGACCTGTCCATCCGTGAATTCTCTGCTGTCTTTCTGGGGATGGGTTCATACTGGTCCCAGAAGCCCCCACCTCAAGTTCCTTCTGCCCTGCTTGGTGGTGCACCGTGGCTTCTGGACTGTGGGGTTGTGGAGCACCACAGAGAACCCTCTCTTAGTGATAAGCACATATGAATGTAAATCAGAGGGATTCGTAGCAAATCCAGTTTTCCTTCCTGCCCTGCACCGGGGCTCAAGAGAGCCATTTTTGGCAACATTTTCCCCATCTCTGTGTAAATACCTTAAACCTGTTTTTAAAGTGAAGCGGGCCCTGAGACCTCAATGAAATATGAAGCTTCTCATGTGTTCCAGAGTCCCTGACCCTTCACTTCCCCACAGTAGCCCTCAGACCCCTGGCCCTCTCTGTACTGGGTCCTGCGGTTGCCACAGGGGGCCAGACACTGCAGCCTGGAGGAGCCATGTGCTGGGGCTGGTGGAACGTGAACAGCACCCCTTCATTGTCCCCCAGACAGCAGGCCACTGCCCTCGGCAGGTCTCTGTAGGAGGGTTTTAACATCACCATCAAGCCTATTTCTTCTTAAAAGGTAGCGGAGACTGCTAACGCTGGGCTAGAGGGATTTTAGAGATTTTATTTTTTGCTTCTAGGTGATAGGTTGTGCTTCGCTTCCCAGTGAAGATTAGAGGCGGTGGGTGATCTTCCCTTCCCTTCTCTGTCCCCTCTGGAGATGTCACAGGTGCTGTGTCGTGGGGGGCAGGCTGGGAAGCTGCTTCTCCAGGCAGCCTGGGCTGTACTGCCCATCCAGGCACCACACCTGTTGTTCATGCTGCTTCCTTACTCCCTCCATGCACATGGCAGTCTTCAAGGGGTTTCCAGAGAGCCAGAGAGTGAGGGAGCACTTGGCTTATGCTCATCTTTCTCGTCCCTGCAGGAGGGACTTCCCTCGACCTACAGCTCTGGTGGAAATGGATGTTCTCCAGATGGGCAGGTGCTTCCCCACAGCATGTTGAATGTAAGCTCTGTCCAAGTGGGGAGCTGGTCAGAGTGGACAAGAGGTCCTTGGGCTCTCCCTGCCCACATCCAGGCTCAGGCTTAGCCTCAGCTAACTGTTCCCCTGTCCACATTCAGCTTTTCTTAAATTAACTCTCCACTTGCTTTTTTTTCTTTTTTATGTCACACACTCCTCATCTTTTTTTAGCAAGGAGAAAACAATTGGCATTCTCCCTGAGAGATTCCAACCAGCATTCTGAATACTGGTAGATAAGCTTTTCCAAGTGGTCAAAAAGAAAAAGACATTTGGAAGAAAGAGATGAGAAAATTAGAAGCCAAATTGAATCAGAGGTGTTCACCCAGATGATGCCCGCCTGCTCCAGAGTGTGAATGAAAAATTAAAATTCCCTGTGGAGTCGGAAAGGAAAGCAGAACAGAACGCAGCTCCACCATGTGTTCATTTTGCAAGCCGGCTTCCTCTGTCTTAGTGCCCAACTGCCCCCCCCCCCCCATTAACACTACCACCCGGGCAGGTGCTTCCGAGTGTCTACCTGACTGTTTTCACTTGTGTCCATGTCATTGAGTAATACTTACATACTGAGCAATTTTAAAGGGAGCGTGTTGAAAGGTATTATAGGACAGGTGACAGAGCCTAGAAATGTGAATCTAGATATTTTTGCCATTGAACGAACAGTTCTCATTCCCCCAGAGTTTCCTCTCTTTAAAGTTAATATATGTGATTCTGCGTAGAGTCTGCCAATGAAGAATCAATCACAGGTTAGAGTAGCAATTGCGACAGTGTGCATAGACTCACAATCTCCCTCATCCCTTCTGATTTAAAGCAGCTTCACTTGTGCACCTAAACACAAGCCCTTTGAAAGCAATAAAAACAAAACCCTGAGTGCTTTCGGGTATTTTTTGAGAAGGGGTGGCCTTTGCTTTCCACTCATCCTTTCATCCTGGAAGGAAAGGGGAAGCTAATTTAGTTTTTTTTTTTTTTTTCAAATTAAGAAATTGCGAGACAGTTCTTCCCTCTTCCTCCCATACCTGCACCTGAGCTTCATTGCTAATTTCAGAATTTAGGCTGTGTGGGGGTGAGTGACGCCGCTTTTGGACAGCCCTTGCTAGTCAAGGCTGGAGCACTAGACTGAGGTGGGGAGTATTTAGGGAAGGTGCTAATGGGCGCTCACTGCACTGCCTATGTCCCCAGTAGCCTCCCCTGATTGAGTTTGGGCCTGGGGTGTGGTCTCCAGCTCTCCTTGGCCTCTGGCAGAAGGAGGCACTAGTGTGTGGGATCTCCCACCAGTTTTTCCATGGACTCTGCCCACTTCATTGTAGTTGCCCCTCCCTCTCCCACTCCCAGTCTTTCTGGTCATTCTCCAGTGGTCTCAGCCAAGTTAGGGCTGTGACCTTCCCAGAACTGCCCATGAGCAGATGCCACTGGCAGTGTGGAGCTGGAGACAGCGGGCTGCAGTCCTTTGCAGGGACCCAGGGACTTCTAATGGCATGATGCCTTGTGGCAGAGACCAGCATCTGACGCTTCCCTGGGTTTTGTCTTTGAGGTCTTTTTCGTAATCGTAGTGACTGTCCCAGGGCATGCCAGGGGAAGGAAGGGATTCCTAGATTTTGGAACACTCATATAATTCCCCTTCTTTTTCAACACTAAGGCCTTGAAGAAGGTTACATATGACCACCTATGGATGACTTTTAACAAGGAGATAGCATTGACCTCACTAGCCTGGCACTTGGTGATGGTATGCTGGACGCACCACCTCATTCCAGGTGCTTGAGGGCCCTATCCTTAAACACAGTCTGGTGAAAGGGGTGAGCTGTGAATATCTAATAAAACACTGAACAATCATATAAAACAATGTAAGCAGCACTTTCTTGTAAGCAAATAATGCAGCTATTGTAATTGATCAACTTCTCTATATTGTCTGCTGCCATTTCTCCCCACCTGTGTATCATGGCATGAGAACTCTCCTTACACTCATGTAGTTGAGATGCTGAGTGTTGAGTTGAGCTGAAGAAAAAGCAGGGGTCAGACCCCACAGTGTGCTGCCCACCACCATTGTGATTCAAATTTGGGGTAAAGCATAAGAAACTCTGCATGTTGCTTTACCTCTGCCTGAGATAATTACAGGACAAGCCAAATATAACCTTTCCAGCCCTGCCGATTTCCACCTGAATTGTCCAACTGCGTGCATAACCTCATGCTTTGAATTTCCTGCCAATGGCTGCAGTTCCCTGGCATGCAACTGTTTGTGTTAAATGGTGTGATGTGGCTTCCAACGTCTCTGCAGTGTAACCAGACCTTGGGTTAAAACCATGGACCCGCCACGCCACTTGCCTTCTTCTGGAAACAGCATGTCCCTGGCCTGGGCACCTGTCCTGACAGTTTGCTAGCCCCAAAGCAGATGCATCCCAGGCCCAGGGTGGGGCCCAGGAACACCACCACACTTAGGTTGCAGCCTTGTGGTGGGGTAGTTGGGTGAACTGGGTCATTCGGATTCCACGATCTTGTACACTGAGGACAGAATACCAAAAAAGTGCAGGGACAGTTTTGGGGCAAAAGATGCCATTACTGTCATCTGCTTAATTGGTGGGGGTGTACATTGACATACAAGGGTTATAACAAGCCTCTGCTGCTGCTGATTTCATTAAAATGGCAGCATCCTCTCAAACCACTCAGGAAAGACATGACAAGAGCACTTTTAGGGATGCTAGAAAGGACCACAGGGGTGGCTCCAGACAGCACAGGCAGCAGCGCATCTTCCCACGATGGCTAAATCGCTTTCAGACTTTGTAAGCTTTGTAATGACAAGTTCACCTGGGGCTTTCTTTCCTCATAAATTTCTCAGTTTCCTAATTTTTTTTTGTTGCAAAAGTATTTGGACAGAAGCCGAACTGTGAATGAGACACTGAAATGCACTAAATTGTATTAAATTAAACTGGACTTACTTGATGCAATGGAGAAACACACCTGATCTCCTTGTGTTTATTTTTTCAGAATTGTAAGTTTTGACAATCAAATAGTTCATTGTCTAAATGCTGGGGAAATCGCCTGGCCCCTCAGTCACCAAGATTGCCAGCAAGTACTCTTAATTGTACGTGACAGTTCTTTGGAAGAACACACTGACACCGCGTCTGGATGTGTGAGGCTGACCTTCGGAGTTTTTTGTTACTGAGGATCCACTAGGCTAACTATCCGCTGCAGGAAGGGGCAGTGGTGCATTGTGTACAGGGCACAAATGTATGATGTTTCCTTTTGTAAACTTCATTTTTTACAATTTTTGCAACTTAAAAGCTTTATGTAGTTGAGGATAAACATGTAAAATGTTTATAAAAATGTAGAGGCTGGGGAAAGGGAGGGATATAATTTAGACTTTCCAAGCCTGTGTCCCAAACAACTGTCTCTGTTTCTGTGCTATGCAAAGATCACTTTGTACACGTGTGATAAGCCTGCCTGGATGGCCATTAGCTCTTGCTCAGCAGAATTTTGTAAGTACCAGTGCTACAGGCACCACCCTTGTCCATCCCAATAGCTGCTATGAAAGGAAAAGGTCCATAACATACGCAAGGGATTTGTTGTCCCTTC